GGGGGGGGGGGGGTCTCGATGTATATTCCGTACGTTTTGAAGACGGATTTGAGCGTCCGGACGCGCCTCGTCACGCGCAGTGGCTTGCACCGATACACACCTGTGTGTGGATGAATGGGTGTGTGGGTGTGGTTGTGGTTGTGTGGGCAAGGCGGTCGCGTGACGTACCTGTGACCTCGACTCTGTCTCCGGGAAGGGCGAAGTCCACCAGGTCGCTGTAGGCAAACACTTGAACTGATGAAAAAAAAACGACACATTCACACACACTCGCGCATGGGTGTGTGGTAGGGGTGGGTATAGGCACTGGTCTGAGGCGTCTCGCCGGCCGGCATGTCCTCGGGCGACTCCTGCATTGCATGAGTACGTGTGTGTGTGTGTGTGTTGTGTTGTACGCAGCTCCGCGCGTGGGCACCTGGAGTTTGATGAGCTGCTTGTCGCTGAAGATGCACTCGCCGTGAGACTGCATCCACACATCCACACATCCATCCATCCATCCACACAAACACAGAGGGACATGTCATTTGCACACAGACAGACAGAGAGTGTGTGTGGTGGAGGTCAGCTGACGAGTGTCATGGATTTGGTCTTCTTGCAGGCGGGACAGCTCTCGGGCTCGACCACCTTCCCACCTGCACACACAAATCCACCCCACCCCACCACATGTAGGCATTGATTGCATCTATCCTGTCTGTGTGTGTGTAGATTACCTTCCTCTACGGGTACATTTTCCTTGTACATGCACACCCTCTGGCTGTTCAGCGGACCGGTGCCGACCTTGGCCTGGCAACGGAACACCGCCTGAGTTGATATAACACACACACACACACGCGCAAGTACACACGCGCACAGATGGCCTCTCTCTCTCTCTCTCTCTGTGTGTGTGTGTGTGTGTGTACGCAGGTCATCTCTGGGATCAGCTCAGAAGTGCGAATCACAATCCCTACAGCCAAAAGACGCCCATACTCGCACTCTCTGTGTGTGTGTGGCCGTCAGTGCGCATGTTGCACCTTTGAGTGCGACGAGTGAGTCGATGTGCGAGGGGTCGAGGCTGCGGATGTGCGACTTGACCGACAAGTTGAACGGGTGCAGCTGATCCAACACACGCGTGTGGTGGCCATGCATGTGTGTGTGGATGCGTGTGTGCGTCTTACGATTCTGGGTGCGGGCTCCTCCTCCATGGCCAGGTCGTCACACGCCGCCCTCACCTTCTGCACACACACACAACAATCACACACGTGTGTATGGATGGATGGATGGATGGATCTGTTGGTGCTTTCTGATTTTTCTTTCCTGGTCCAGGACGGCGTCGATCTCTGGGATGACGGCACGCGGGAAATGCTCAAACCACCTGCACACAAAGGAGAAAGAAAGAGGGTATCAGTCTGTGCATCCTGGGTTGACAGAGCTCATGTCAGGGGTAAGACTTACTTGTAGAGGGTCATGTCTGTGCCCTCGATGTGCGACAGATCTACGCCAAACCTGCACAAACACACACATGGACATAGCCCCCATGCCCCCAGCCGCCCGACGCACCCCGATTTGCCGGGTGTCGTGATGAGGTGCTCCCGCAGCTTCCTCTCGTAGTACGACACCTCTACGTCACCCTCGGCCCCATCGACCTACACAACACACAAACAAAGAGCACCGAACATCCACACACGCACTCCCTACAACGCATGTGTGCACGTGTGTGAGTACCATCTGGACATCGTCGTCGGCGTTGCCCTCGCCGTATGTGTTCCAGAAGTCCTCAAACCGCCGCACCACATGGACGCGCATCGGACCACCTGACCACATCAACCCACACCCACACCATCAGCAGCTCTCTCCCGCCCATCCACCGATGCGTACCTTTGTTGTAGACGTTAGGGTCATTCTCGTCGCCCATGTCCATGTCCATGTCATCGTCCCCACCATCTCCCCCTCCCCCTCCCCCGCCATCGGGCGAGCCGCCCCCACCCCCACCACCAACCCCACGGCCTTGCGTGCCCGTCTGACGCAGCTGTGTCTGCATCCATCCATTTCATCCATCGATACACACAGACAGACAGACAGCACTGAGGGACAGATACCCCCTGTTGTTGTCGTCTGTGTGATTGTGTAATACCCCCTGTAGCCGCGCCTGCTCGAACGCCGAAAGGCCACCAACTGAGCCATAGCCACAGACACACAGAGATACGGCGACAGGCGCATAGATGGGTCCCACTTTGAATTTCCATCCATCCATCCATGTTGCTCACCTGAGCTACGCCGTCTGCCTCTGCCGCGGCCGGCACCAGCACCACCAGCTGCAGCCGCGGCACTGACATTGGATGCATTGGTGCTGCGTCGCTGCCTCTGCTGCTGCTGCTGGCCCTGTCCCTGTTCCTGCTGCTGCTGCTGTCCATCCTGCGGTTCATCAAAGACGTCATCAAAGCCGACGTCGCCAGCCATGCCATCGGCCGCAACTCCAGCTGGACCAGCATCGGCCGCTGCATCTACGTCCGCATCCATCATTGCGATGATCCCCCGAATTCCGTTTACGTGTGTAAACTCTCAATAAATGGCAGCAATGCGAGTACACGATAAACACGTGCAGACGACACACACTTCCTTTGCTTTGTCACATCTCTCCACAGGCCCTGGACTGACTGTCTGCCTGCGTGTCTGCCTGTCTGACAGTATCACATTTCCCACTCCCATTCGGTCCGTCGCACAACCGGCCGCCTGTTGCTCTTGATTTTGCTCGCAACCTCCCTCCTGCCCATCTCCCCCTCTCCCTCCACCTCTTTCTCCTCTCCCTCCCCATCGATGGGCTTCACAAACGCAATCCTCGTCTGCCCACTGTGGCTGTCTGTGTCCTTGGCTGCCAGCACGGCTTCGCCCCATGTGTGTTGCTGGTGGCGGTCGTCCCTCTCGTGCGTGACCTCATTTTGTATCCACTCGATGAGGAGGTTGTTGACCTTGTCAGGCCGCTCGTGGTGGGGGCAGTGGCCGGCGTTGATCCAGTGGAGGGTCGAGTCGGGACGCATCTGGAGCAGCATGTCAGCCTGAATGCAATGACACACACAGAGGAGATGGGAAGGACCCGTGTAGCGCTCCCTCTATGTGTGTGTGTGGTGTCCTCACGTAGAAAGGGACGATCCAAGGGTCCCGCTGCCCCCACAGCAGCAGCAATGGCCCCTTATAGTTGTCAGGCCCGCCCAGCAGCTGGGGCCACGAGCGGCCCTTGGGCGCGACGAAGAGCGATCCAAACAGCACGGGTCCTGGACACACGAGAGAAAGGAACAATCAGAAGCTTCATGGGGACACATGTGCTGTGTGTATGTTGCGGTGGGGGGATGGTTACCAGCTTCGTCGGCTGCGTCGCCTTGTGCAGGTTCCAGAATGGACTGCACGAGTGTGTCGGTCACTGCACTCTTGTCGACATACACCTGCTCCTGCACGCACACACAACAAAATGAATGCCCCGCCCCCTTCATGTCGGCGTGTCTTGTCTTGCGACCCACCAGTGTCTGTCTGATTTGCTCCGGCTGTCGCGCATTGTTGAAGAGCAGCCTTCCCAGCCAGTTGGCGAGCGGCCGCCACCTCAGCAATGGCACCTCCACACCCAGCGGATTCAGCACGCCCCACCGACCGGCAGAATTGAGCAGGGCAAGGCCTGTTCATGCACATGGACGGATGGATGGATGGATGGATGGATATGCAGCTGTGGTGCGGACGCTTGTGTGCTCACCTGAAACGACGTCAGGTCTGTCTGCCGCAACTTGCATACCGACGTACCTGAGGAGTAAACACACACGCCGCACACGACAGAAGAGAGGTGCGAATGGAACAAGGAAGGAAGACACACCGTCCGCGAAACACTCACCCGCCGATGGAGTTGCCGACCACCACACACGGCCGCCTCACCACCGTGTCGATAAAATGCTCCACCTGCCCAGCCCACAGCTCGCTGCAATACGTCACATTCACAGGCTTCTCGCTCTGACCAAACCCCAGCAGATCCGGGCAGTACACGTGCACCCCTGCCTTCGCCAATGCCTCGACGTTCTTCTCAAAATGGCACGAGTTGATTCCGAAACCGTGGACCATCACCATTGCAGTCGTCTCGGGCCGCCCTTGTGGCTGTGGCGGCAGCTCTTGGTAGTAGCACTCGTGGCCCTGGTAGGTGTAGGTCTTGCCCTCGGGCTGGACCCTCTGCTGCTCGACGTCGGCTGCTGTGTCTGTTCGTGGAGGGGCCACCAAATGTCGGTTGGCCTCCTCCTGCTGCTGCTGCTGTTGGTGCTGTTGTGGCTGTTGGTGCATATCGACGTGTGTGTCGAGGGACGATGTACACCGCAATGCAGGCTGCCTTGAGGGCCTCAGCAGTGAGGAGGACCTGACAAAAGCAGACGAGGCAGATGAGGGCGCGAAAGAGGAAGATGAGATGGCGCGCTGAAAAAGAGACGACGCCGCGATGAAAATAAGGGCGGGTGAGATGCGCAGAGCGGGCCGCCTCCTCCTGGTTGGCTGCGGCGAGGCGGACGCTGCTGCAGGATCCATTTTCGTCAGATGCATCACGGTATCAGCACAGATCTTTGGTGATCTTGTCATGCGGATGCTGCTGCTCATGACGGTCCACACATCTGAGGCTTTTTTTGCGATTTTCCCCTGCTCCTCTGCGAGCTTCAGCTCGCATGAGGGGAACAGAAAAAAGCAGGAGCCGAATCGCGCGAATCCGCAGCAGGCTACCCTGACATCACAGTGTTGTTGAGACTCATTCATCGTGTGAGTGACGGAGGATTGATCAGTGACGATAGAATAGATGAGTGGTCCGCGTCGGCAGTCCGGCAAGGGCCAGCGAACCGAAGATGCTGCACCTGGTAAGTCAAGTCATATCACGCCTGCTCACACCCAGGCGTGATGCATTCTCTCATCGTCTGTTGGATTGTGTGTTGATTCTTTCAGTGTCGACGCGTCGCTTCCTCAGCTCCGGCTTCCTCATGGGAGGACCTCAACCACAGGCACAAGCATCAGCAGCGGCATCAGCATCAGCGGCAGGTCAACCATCCCCCGCCGGCCCGGCCACCGCGCCACCGGCACCATCTTCCCGGCCATTCGCGTCACCAACCCTCGCAGTCGACGGCCCAGCAGGCCGCCTGAGCTCCATCAACGAATCCCCCGCTGCGCCCGGCATGGTCACGGGCATCAGCAGCTCATCGGCCCCCGCCCATCGTAGCAAGGTTTTCGCCCCCAATGTCCGTCTGCAGAGGCAGCGAGTGGACCCTGCTGCTGTCGAGCAGCAGCAGGCAACAGGCACGCTGCCGTCCGCTATTGCCGCGTTGCGTGAGGCGTCCCGACAGACGGCAGCGATGCAGATGCAGCAGCGGACGGCAGCAGAGAGGAAGGACGCCGCACGGGGGAAGCAGAAAAGGGGGGAGGGGAGGGCGGCGGAGGAGAGGGACGAGCAGCGGGACCGGGCGAGGGCGGCGCATCTGCAGTATTACCGGCAGAAGCGGAGCAAGGGTCAGCAGCAGCAGGGGAAGAGCAAGGATTTGATGGACCTTAGCTGGGCGGAGGCCGGCGGGGAGTTCAGCGTGTATGCCCCAACCACCCTGCCATTTGTGGTGAGGGAAGACGAGGACGGACAGGACCACCAGCAGCACCACCAGCAGCAGGGAGAGAGAGATGCAACCGACAAGAGTGACGGCGAGAAACCAGTGAGTGAGCTGCTTTTCAACACCCCCCATGCACACATACACACACATGTGTCCGGATGCCTGTGTGTGTTTGCAGGTGAGCAGGGCGTCCGCAGATGAGCCTCGAGTGTCGGCCAAACGTCCCACCGTCAAGCATGTGGACGAGGTGAACCGCAATGCAGCAGTCCTCTTCAACAGAGACGCCGAAATGGACGCAATGTACAGACGCACACGCACATCCGCACAAGGAGCCAGACACCGATATGTATTGCCCTCTCTCTCTCTCTCTCTGTGTGTGTGTGTGTGTGTGTGTGTGTCAGGCTGCCGCCAGCGTATGGCGGGAGCGACGACCGTGACTTCTTCATCATGCAGTTCCCCAACAGGCTGCCCGCCATCGACAGGGACAGGTCCACCGCTGGCCGGGCGGCAACACAGCCACCTACATCGGCAGACAGCGACGAGCTGCAGCAGCAACAGCAGGATGGTGCAGAGGAGGACAAGAGGCCAGCGGCAGGTGGGTAGATTCTGGATGGATGGATGGATGGATGGATGGGTGGATGAGTGCATGTGTGTTGGTTGGTGTGATTGTGGACAGATGCGTCGTCGCGCAAGGGAGGTCGCAAGAAGGAGGAGAGCAAGCTGCAGCCGCCCCCGGCTTACATGAGCTCTTCAATCGACCAGCTACCAGAGGGAAAACTAGGTACCCGCGCAAACCGACCGGCAAACAACGCCATCGGCTGATCTGCGTGGGTGGATGTTTATACACGTCTGTGTGTGCACACTACAGGCAAGTTGTTGATATACAAGTCGGGCCGGGTGAAGCTGCAGCTGGGCGACCACCTGTTCAACATCGACCAGGGGTCCGAATGCCAATTCGCACAGGCACGCGCACACAACACAACACGAAACGAAAAGAAACGAAACGACGCAGACGCAAGCATGTCGCTGCCCCCTCTCTCTGTGTGTGTATGTCACCAGGATGTCGGCTGCGTGGTCGGCAGCTCTGAGCTCACCTTTCTCGGTATGGTGTGCAGCTGCTGATGCAGATGCACATGCATGATGGTTGACACGTGCGCGTGTGTGTTTTGGGTGTCTCATGGATCAGGTCCGGTGCAGAAGCGGATGGTCATCACCCCCGACATCGAGACGGCCTTTGCCAACATGGGCATGGACAACAATGCAACAAAGGGGGGCATGGAGTGAGACAAGACAGAGAGAGGCACGCAGAGGGGCGCATGGATGTATAGATCTGTTTGGGTGGATGGATGGATGGTCTACGCGAGTGTGTGTGCAAGGGCATCTGAGACGCTCTGTGGGTGGGTCGATGGACAGGGGGATCCTTGACAGTCGTCACAATGTGAGTTAATGCAATCGTGTCATCGTGTCTGCATCCATCTCACCTTACTTGCGCACGCACAAGACAGACAGACAGACACAGACAGACAGACACACACACACAGACAGAGACAAGAGAGCAAAAAAGCCCTGACTTAGCTTTGTCTGTCTGTCTGTCTGTCTGGCACTCTATATCTATCGACCACATCACACATGTCAGTGAGGTCAAGTGCCCTCCCCCCTCTCCATCTGCTCCACACGCCACTCATCAGCACCAACACCAACACGCTCCCTCTCTCGCCTGTCCCGGTCTCCCCTCTCGGTCGGCGTGACGACAGCCAGTGACCGTGCTGATGTGTGGGAGCCTGCTGTGCGTGGGGATGGAGATGGCGCAACCAGGGTTGCTGGGAGAGGGGGGCAGGTCGGCACACACACCGGTTGCCGCCATAAAATCTTGCTGCAGATAACACAGAGAGAGATGAGTGCGTGTGGGGGGTGCTTGCGGGTGTTTCGAGTATGAGTGCATACCTTGGTTCTCTCTCTAGACAGAAAGCTTCCCTGCAGTTGCCGCGAAGACCTGCACGAAGACGGCAGATAGCCAGACAGACAGCCAGCGTAGCATGCCCGGTGTGTGCGCCACAGCAGGTTCCTCTGTGCACATGATACCTAATGAGAAAGGATTCTTCTGCCCATATAGCTCCTTTATCTGCTCAGATAGACGCGCGCACACACAGGCATCTTCCTCCGTCTCCGTCTGTCTGTCTGTCCATTTGTGTGTGTGGTACCTCTTCGTTGGTGGTGAGGTTTCTCGCCGTGAGGTAGCAGTGGAAAATGCTCAGATTCACCAGAGGACACAACATGCAGAAAGTAAACACCAACACCAACGTGCTGCCACGGTGATCATACACACACACACACATCTGTGAGAGAGACAGACAATGTGTATTGTGTCCGTCGGTCCGTCCGCACCATATTGGGTGTTCTTTCATGGTGTCGATGAGCAGCGGCACAGACATGTGGTGGCCGACGTAGGCCAAACTCTGCCATCCAGCCATCCACACACGCACACACACCCACAAAAAAGACGGTGTTTGTGTGTGGCAGGTCTATGTGTGTCAGTCCCTGCGTGTGTGTGTGTGTGTACCACGAGTGCGTATGCGTCGACGACGACGACATAGAATGCCCAGAGCGTACACGAAAACACAAACAACACAAAGAACCGGTAGTTACGAAGACCCACACAATTCGACACCCTACAACAAACAATACACAGAGAGAAATATGACGCCTCGTTGTGCTATCTTAGCGCATTGTGTGTGTGTGTATGGTGAGTACCATGGGCAGTGGTGGTCGAATCTCTGCACGCAGTTGTCACAGAACACGCAGTGCTTCGACCGGGGCGGGCGCCAAATCTTGCACGTCGCTGATGACACAACACACACAGAAAAATGGCATAACACGTGGACGATCTTGCGGCCGTTGTGTCGACTTACGGCACCACTTGAGAATGATTGAGCATCCGTTGATGATCACCTCCTTCTCCCGAGCTGCACAATGGACCCATTGAATCCACCAACACACACAGACATCCACTCCTCCATCCATCCATCCATCCATCCATCGATGGCTTGCCTTCGTTTGTTTGGGGGATCTCCTCTGGCGGAGGATTGCGGCGCGGCAGACTACACAATAGATACACACACATGGGAGATATGGCCAGCCACACAGACCCTCACGCGCTGTAGCTTACATGCCGGGTTCAGTGAATGCAGCAGCGAGCAGCAACACGAGTGTGGCGGGGAAGAGAGGGGCGATGGGCAGCAGTATCACCCACCACATCTCATGGCCACACACCAACGGAACACTGCAGCACACAAGACATATATACACTGCAGCCGAGAGAGAGCGTATGTGAATGCTGTTGTCCCTTACACGGTGACGAAGAATCCGCCGGATGGGATCAGTATGAGCAGGACAGTCACTGCAAGATAGCCCGGCTCAGGACCAGTCACACAACGACCTGCTCGCACAACACAACACAGTCCAGCCCTGTCCGTCTGCCTGTCCGCCTGTCTGCGTGAGTGTCTGTCTGTCTGCGAAGCATCATGCGCACCTCCGCAGTAGAATCGATTGTTGCCCGGCCACACTGCAAATCAATACCATCGACACACAGCACAGACAGTCACCACACAACAAATCAAGACGCCCCCTGTCTGTCATTATTCGTCGCACAGATACCCACCTTTGTACTGCGGCACAAATTCGACATCCCGACCGCCCGTTGGCTGCACAACACAGCCACAACAGACAGACAGACAGGCACAGACAAGGCAGAGAATCAAATGATGTCAGCGGCACAGCTTTTCGTGTAATTTGACCATTTCGTGAACAGGCAGGGGCCGGTAAAGATGAGCTCCCATGCAAAACGGGGGCTTCTGTCTTTCCTTTCTTCAAAGCTCGCAAAAAAGAAGGTGTGAGCTGAGCTTGCAGACTGCTCAATCTTTTTGCGCATTCTCCGGTCTCTCTTCCCGCGACGTGAGAATGGGTTCTGTGCGCGGGGCTCCCATGGCCTTCGTCGGCTGCAGCGCGGCCGTAGGGGTCATTCTTATCGTGTTCGCGTGTGTCAACGGTGCGCTCACCCCTCCCCCCTGGGCGGCATTCCACGCCGTATTCCTCGCACTCAGCGCCCTCTTCGCACTCGCGCTCGCCTTCCCTCAATACCGAGAGTGGGAGGCGGCAGCGGCCATCACGGGCATGCACGCCCTCCTCAACCTGGGGCAGGCACTGGGATGGGCCGTGCTGCTGATGCGTGACCCAGATGGCGACAACAAGAAGTTCATCCACCCTGACGATATCGCCTTCTACTTGGTGGCGGCTGTGATGATGGGTGCGCTGGCCGTGTGGCTGGAGTTCTATGTGAGCGAGCTGCCCAGTCTGCCGCGAGAGGGGCGGCGCCGGTACATCGGGATGATAGTGGTGGCGGGCATCTGTGGGGTGATGCTCTGGCTCATGGGCATCCCCGCCATCGATGAGGGAGGCGCTCACGAGGACCACCCTGTGCCGGGATGGGCCAAGTAAGCATCACAGCACCAACACACACACACACTGCACAGATGGACGGATGGATGGACATTCACGCTTGTGCTTGTGTTGCGTGTGCGGTTGAATCGGCCAGCGGCATGCTTCGGTGCATTACGTCTATTGGGTGCTACACCATGGTGTACGCCCCCTGGGCGCGACACATCGGCTCAACCATATGGCTGGCCATCATGCTGGTCGTACTGGTACGTATGGGACGCGCCATCAATCCATCCACCCATCCACTAATTGTGTGTGTTGGTCAGGTGTGCGTTGCTGTCATCCCCGTCAACGAGATCGTGATGATGACGCTGATCCTGTCCATCATCCTAGTGTCGCTGCCTCTGCTTTACAAGCACGTGCTGCTGCCCAGGAAGGCCCCGGGCGACGACGGTGCCAACGGACACATCAAGCCCCAGCTGTACGGCAAGAGCAGAGAGGAGGAGGAGATGGCCGCGAAGATCTGAGCAGGCATTGGACGCAGACATACACACTCAGACAGGCACAGAGAGAGAGAGAGAGCTAGATACGTAAGTTATAAGGTGCGTACAGGTGCGTACTACTTCTTATAAGATAAGGCGTACAAAAGGCGTTTCGTTCTGACTGATTTGACTGCAGTGGGGTCTTGGTCGACTGACGTGTTGACTTCCTGCCTGCCGGCCCGTTCGATTGCGATTGAGAGAGCGTGTGTGTGTGAATGTATCAGTTGCGGACACGCACACGGCTACGTACGCAGGCACGGTACCCTATTGCATGCTTATTGTCCTGTTTAAGCTACCCATCTATCAGCTTTGTTTCCTTTCGGTGTTTTTCGAAAGACGGTGGTGGGTGGCTCAACTGCATGGGTTGATTGATTGATTGGTCGGTCGGTCGGTCGTTTTTTCGCTCTGTGTTTATCTGTCCTGTGTGTAGTGCGGGTCGGTTGGGGTGGAGATAGTCCACCAGACCAACCAGCCGGTCTCGTCTCATCGTTCAGTTGTTGCTGTCACTGGACTTCTGAGGAGCGGCCTGGTCAGCGCAACGCGAGCAGAGCAACGTTTCACCTAGCTACTCAAACTTGCTGCTACGACGGACGGGCGGATCAATGGTTTGAGATGATTTGACACGTAAGATGGCACAACATTGGTGTGTGTCTTGTTTGAACGACCCTTGTATGTCCGCAATACAGACAGACAGTCTCTCTCTCAAACCATCTGTGTGTGAGACGGTGGCAAAGTGGTATTCACATACAATAAAGGGCACACACGCACACGCCGGAACCATGCACACACTGTCCGTCACCTCACTCACGACATCCATGCAGCCGAGTAAAGAGGTCTGTCTGCCACCATATCCAGAGGTATGGATCTGCACATACAGCGATGACTGACTGACTGATTTGAGTCCGCGCCATCCATCGGCGCATGAGAGCTATAGCTACGCACACGTCGGTCTACCGGCTGTCTCTGTCTGTTGCTGCTCACGTGGCTGTTCGAATGCCGTCGACGGTGCTGGCGTAGTGGGCCTCCTGGTTGCACAGCGGACACTTGAGCTAGGCGTCACGGGCAATGTCGTCAGGCACTCGCCGCTGCAGCGCCCCCAGGTGGGCCTTCTTCTTCTTGGCCGCCTCGTGTCGCGCCGCCACGTCACGCCAGCAACCCTCACACAGACACTTCTGCACACACACACACACACACACACGGACAAGGGTGGTATGCGATTCGTGTGTGTGTCCACTGACCTGCTGACATGGGAAGAATACGACTGTTGGCCGCTCGGCCCCCCTCCTTCTCGAGTATTGTCCGCTGGATCGTGGCCTCTTTGGACAGCTCCCGCAGCTGTTGTTTGGCGCTCTTGATGTCACGCTGGAAGGCCTCCACCGCTGTCACGCTGCTGAGCGACTCCAGACGAGCAGGGGTCAGCCTGACCATGGGCAGACAGGCAGACGGAGAGATGCATTCCCGGCCCGGCTTTGTGTATCGGTGGGCAATTGCTGACCGTTTCTTTGCCTCGTGCTGCAGTGTGTGGTGCTCTTGCTCGAGCGGCTGTAGTGAGGCCTCTATCTCGCTGTGCTCGTGCGTCATCCGAGAGATGTCACCCTCCAACCTGACAGGCAGACAGATCAAGGGCGATGGATGGCTTCCTTCTGGCCACTACCATAGGGACTGTTCTCTCTTACTGGTCTATGTCGTATTGGATGTGCTGTATGGCCTCGAGCAGCTGATGCTCAGTCGACGATTCATTCAACATCACCCGCATCGCCCCACATACCGGCATGCCACACCTGATTGATGCACACAAGACGCCGACGTGGGAATAGACGGTTCGTCTTCCTTCCGTCCCACCCACCCTTCAGCCGTGGACATCGGCGTGGAGGCAGACCCAGCAGCTGCTGCGCCTAAGGCGCTCTGCGGCTCGGCTGCGGGTGCCTTTGTGGGTTTGATTGCGCCGCTCTGGAGCCGCATTGCATGTTGGGCGGCGGCCACCAGCAGCTCGTCGAGCCGCACCTCTTCGCGGCTGATCTTTGCCTCAAACTCACGCACTTCGGCAGCCGTGGCGAGGGACACCAACACATCGTGGCTAAGGCTGCATCAACAGCACACAGAGTGGAGCTAATGTGTGGGGCCCTCTCCTCGTGTGTATCGCTCACTTGGGAGTGACGTATTCGAGTCGTCGTATGTTTGTCTTGAGCTCCTTGACGCGATCGGCCGCCCACCGACGGGCAGCCAACAGATCCCTGTACTGATCCTCCAGACTGCACACACACGGAACAAAACACATTGGTATGACACACATGGCCGTGTTGTGTGTGTTGTCTGACCTCTCCTTCTTGTCGATGCATCCGTTCAGGTCAGCCCGCAACTGAGCCGTCACATCAGCCGGACAGAACCTGCATACACACAGCCACACAGCCACATTGACAGCTACAGACCACATTGACATTGGGGCTATGTTTGGGAGTCACTGGTCTTGTCGGGTTGACGTCTGCGCGGAGGAGGGCCGGTCGGCGGGCGTCGTGCTGACCGTCGATGACGCCGGCGGGTCGACAAATGAGGACCTGACGGATGGATAGATGACCCACACACACACACGACAGAGCGAGTCACTCGGTGTGTGGGTGGGTCCCCTCTGAGTGCCTTACGATGAGCTGGACGGCCGCTGGGCAGCGAACGAATGGCTCGCTGATGTGCCATGAGCAGGGGAGAGAGGAAGAGGAGCGAATGCCGAAGGGCCGACATCAGCTGGAGGCTTCTGGCTGAGGACATTTCGCTGCTGCTGGTGGTCACCCGGGGCGTCAGAGAAGGCGGGCTCGACACTGTGCGCCACACACAGAAGGACAGCAGATGGGGGTATTGGGTAGAAGTGTCGGTGGCTGTCTGCACCTGTCGCTGTGTGTCTGGCGGGCAGCTCGGCGCAGCAGCTTCCTCCGTCACCTGATCTACTTCTTCAGTCTCGTGCTGTGTGTCGTCGGCCTCCTCCATCTCGCCATCTGCCGCTGACTCGGCCTGTTCAGCCGCCAATCGCTGAAGGCAATGACACACACATGCAGTATCCATGTGTGCAGCGGTCCACTGGAAGGGCACCTTGAGACGCTTCTGCTCGCGCTTTCTGGCGGCCCTCTCCTCCTCCTTGCGGGCCTGTTCCTCCTCTCGCAGCAGATCGGCAGCCGCCGCCTTGTGACGGGCCTCCAGATGAGCCATCAACACACCCACACATGACTGAACACACCAAACAAGTAAAGCGGCTGACGTGCGGGCGACATCGAGGGGTGTCTCGTTCTTTTTGTTGACGGCCACTCGACAGTCCCCTCTTGAGCAGCCACTCGACAATCCCGGACCACCCATTAGCAGCCGCGACGTGCAGCAGAGAGCTGCCAGTCTTGTCACGACACTGCAGACTGAGGCCGGGCTTCTTGCGACGCCCTCCTTTGGCCTCGGCCGGTGTGCTGCGCGTCAGGCCATGGCGTTCGATCACCTCCAGGGTGGCCACTGCACGCGACTGCCGGGCCTCCTCCTTCTGCTCTGCCTCCGCCGCTACGCCGCCGGCCGCCTGCTGTCCCGCCTCTTCTGCAAGGCCAACGATGCCGGCCCGTTTGCCCTTGCTGGTGGCCTTCTTCCGGCTCTTGGTGCCCACCATGGGCTCAGAAGGGGGCTGGGGAGCTGTCGCAACACACAAGAGCATCAGCGCGCGTCAGTCTGGCTCAATCGACCAGTCACTCACCGTCGTCATGTTGGTTGCCATCGCAGGCGAGCTGAAGAAGATTCAGGCCCGCAATGAAGTCCCCCTCAGAGAGGACTGACGGGTCGCAACGCGGCTGCTGCAGAAGGTAGTCGAGGACCTCAGGCAAGTGGAACAGAGAAGCAGCACCTGAGGACACCAAGTCAGACTTGCATCCTTCCGGCATTGCTCCTTCTGTCTCGCCCTGTCCTCTGGACACTCACCGACAGCAGGTGACTTCATAACTTCTCTGGTTTTACAGTCCATAGCCACCACGCCGATTTCCTTGACGTCGGCATTGTACTCAACCAGCGACTGCACAGAGGCAGACAGACAGGCAGACCCATGTGAGGCGGCTTAATGATCTCATGTGGCCTCTCTACTTGCGTACCTTGACGATCCGTAGCACAGTGGCGTCATCAGCGCAATTGGAGAACCCATGCGTCATGGCCTCGATCAACAACGGCTTCCGCACATAACCTGATGCCATCCAGACGTAATCAGACATATCGCCCTTCGAACTTGATTTGCCTACTCACTTACCGTCAGGCTCGATCATCTCGCCCTCGAATGGCTCGATGCTGAAAGGCGAGAGGTCTCGCCAGCTGAGAACCTCCCCGTCCGTCGCCCGCACCTGCCCCACCGGCAGCCCCTCGTCGCCGCCCTCCTCCGTCGGCTTGATGAAGTTGTCCTGCAGCAGTGTGTCGAGCGACCCAGCCGAGCCGTACATGGCACATGAGTGGAGGGCCTGCTTCAGCACGAAGCCGTTCATGTAGGAGACCATGGGCTTGGGCAGCGACGACAGCAGCGAGTGGTCCTCTACACGCTTGCGCCGCCCCTCTGGCGTCGGCAGGTCGTGTGCGCACGCCTCCCGCATCGCCCTGGCCATGGCCTCCATCTGCACCATTCTCTCGCGCAGCTCCTGCCTCTTCCTCTCGTGTGCCGCGGCCGCTGGTGAGTCAACACCGCCGCCCTCCTCCATCGCACCAGCTGCAGCTGCCTGCCTGCATCCATCCATCCATCCATCCACACAAACGGTGTGGTCTGTGTGTGAGAAGGATGGAGGGGAGAGGAAAGGCGGAACGTCATGCATCGACAGGTGGGGGCTGTGGCACCTACCTTGTCTGTCCTCAAGCGTCGCGATTGCCGGGACCCTGGGGTCGGCTTCTGCCTCACGAAGGAGGAAACGAAGCATATCCGGATGGTGGCACATGGCAGCCGCACCTGCACACACACGGAAGGCAATGCAATGAGGCTGTGTTTCAGCAATATCTTCCCTTGCCGCTTACCGACGGTGGATGTGTTGTAGCTGAGCTGGCGGTCAGGAAGATTTGCCTGGCCGGCATGCCCTCGAGCATCCACATCGGCGTTGTACGCCAGCAGCGTCTGCATAACACAGACAGATGGACGTATCACTGCACGCAGCCAGCACGACAGGCTCACTCAGGCAGTACCTTCATGATCTGGATGGGCGCGTCGGCCACGGCCGCCTGTGCGACCAGGGGGGACGGCACATAGTCTGAACACACAGACAAGATCCACACTCTCTCTCTGTCAGTGTCTGTCTGTCTGTCTGTCTGCGGACCTGAAGTGACCAGATTGAGGGGTTCGTCACGGTACAGGCACGATGGATGGAGAGCATCCAGGGTCAGGTCGTCCCACTCGAGCACCTTCCCGCCCCTCTTGGTCCGCACCTCACCCACAGCCGCACCTTGTCCTTCTCGGTCGGCTTGATGAGCGTCTCCCTCAGCAGCGCCTCGAGCGACCCGGCCGCACCGTGCACCACACACGCCTGCAGGGCGTGGCGAAAGAGCAGCCCGTCCATGAAGGAGAGGTCGGGGAAGCACGGAGTCGGCAGCTGCGAGAGGAGCTGGTGGTGCTCTTTGAGATGCACAGGCTTGCGCTGATCTTCTGCCACCAGCTGATCGTGCGCGCACGCCTCCCGCATCGCCCAAACATGGCCTTTCATCTTCGGCTGTGCATGTCTGTGTACATTTCTTACAAACCCAGACACATGCACACTCACACACATCAGATGGTGTGCATGGCAGCTGTGTGTGTATGGTGTGGCTCACTTGCAGGCCTCCTCGAGGAGGAGCTCTGAGTCGCTCATGCCATGGCAGCTGATGGAAGTGGGGATGTCCTCAGACGCACCATCGCCCCTGCTATAAGTCGCACGTTCAGCACTAGCGACCACCTTCTCCTGCGCGGCCTGTCGGCTGGGCCTCTCTGCTCGCCGCTTGTCGCGCCTCTCTGTGGCCCTCTGCACCGGCGGCTGAGCTGCGGGAGAGGGCAGGGGAGGGCGATGGTGGTTGGTTGATGCCATGGATGATGCGGCAGCTGTGTGTGTTGAGTGGATGACAGCGTGTGTGTGGCCCGACCGCCCGACCGACCGACCGACAAGACAAAGACAAGACAAGCAGCTGCGAGCTCCACATGGGCCGGGTTCGGATGATGATTGAACGAATGTGTGACTGACTGACTGATTGGATTGATGGATGGATGGATGAATGACTGATTGCAATCAGCCAATCGATTGAGTGCATTCTCTTCCCACAAAAACAGCAACGAAGCAGGAACGACGGCTTAAGGCTAGGTTTTCACCTGAAACACAGTGATTGCAGATCTGGCGGGCGAGACGGAGGATGGTGGTCGATGCTGTGTTCGAGGCCGTCTGGGCCTTTCCGCACACCGACGTGACCGAGGAGGTGGTGACAGAGCCGGGCAGTCTGTTTGTCGGTGACCGGAGGTTCCGTTTCGACAACGGGTCGGCAGAGATCTCTAATTTCTGTCATAGATGGTCCACGTTACTGTGTTATGTGTGTGTCTGCAGTGGCGAGAGGCACACACTGTGTCGTGTGTGCGGCACACATGGGAGGGCGGAGGATAACTTCATCACACAACACTACCACACATCGACACGTGAGGCAGAAGCACCGTCTGTCAACGGCAGTGTGTCCCTGCGATACCGATTTGTATGTCTTCATCGTGTGTGTGTGTGTGTGTGTGTGTGTTGTCCCGTATGCAGGTTGCTGGCAGCGTGTAATGGAGAAGCTGATGACGCCTTACTGCATGGCACAACACACAGCTCCGTAAGCCACAAGTGCCTGTCCATCACATGAGCGTGACGAATGTCCATTCTTGTTCTCTCTGTCTGTCTGTCTGTGCGTGTGTGTCGTGCCGGGTTTTCAATGAAGAGGCCCTCCTGGCCAGCACCCACAGTCTCTCCCCGCACCGGTGCCACTCATCGCCGACAGCCATCCACCGACTGGATCCATCAAGCCAACAGGGACCCTCCCTGGACCACAGCTGCCGCACTTGCAGCCACCAGTAAGAAAGATGCACACGCACACGTCGGCACGGTGATCACGCCATGCATTGCAATCGATGCCGTCTGTCTGTCTGTCTGTCTGTGTGTTGATCCAGTTTGCCAAGCAGCTCAGAGGTCTTGACCATCTCAGTCGAGTGCTCAGGTGCCATCTGGAGATGGTGGACGAGCAGAGGCGGCAGGCGCTCAACCTCCTCGCCACACCAAACAAACCACAGGTGTGTGCACTGCACCTTACTCACAGCTGAGCAGCACTTGATGAGTCTCACGCGCGCACGCTCATCTCTCTCCCTCTCTATATGGTTGCCTGGCGGTCAGGCGGTTGAGCAGAATTTGCGCGTGTGGGAGAGAATCGTCGACAACCAAGCCAAGCACACCATCCGGGCCATCAGCCAAGCCGTCCCGGCGCTCATCGCCCCCTCAGCAGAGAAGCTCCGTCTCATACAGGCGCTGCTGGGGACACAGCTGAGAACACAGGACGGCACGCAAGCGATAGACTGTGCTGACGATGCTGTCTTGTGTGTGCAGCATGAGCCCTGTTTGGAGGGCATTCCCGAAGTGCTCTGGTTGAGCGACGGCTACCGCACAGGCATTGGTACGGAAACCGACCGGACATGTCCGTAGCCCTTCACGCTTCTGCTTGGGGTGGTCTGCAGGTGGTTATCTAGGTTTCGTTGCGTGTGTCAAGTCCCTCTCGGGTGTCAGCACGGCGATCGCGTCGACGGTCAGCAACCCCAAGATGCATCCCATCCTTCTCCTAGACAGCACCAAACGGTTTATCCGCTGTCCTCAACCCATTCATCGCAAGTGGAAGGGTCAGCACACCACGCCACACCACACCGCAGCGCAGCACTCGACGGGCACATAAGCCGCCACTTGTCTCTGTGTGTCTTGGTGGCCTGGCTTGGTGGCTCCTGCAGACGTGCTGTCCCGCACCAGTAGCGTCTGCGTGTCGATCAACGCAGGCCCACACATCGTCAGCGTCGGGCTGCTCGAGGCCGCTGCTGGAAACGTCACAGAGATCACCGTGGACCCCAAGGCCGACCGCACAAGCCAATTCAGGTTCGGCAAGAGCAGCCTCGCCGCTAGTGTGAGGTTCCCGCGGCTTGCCAAGGCCGTCCTCACACGTGAGTGGGTGGAGGTGGTGATGCAGAGGCAGAGCGGTGCAAGGCAGGTGTACGAGATGCCCGCCCTTACCAATCTGAGCGTCGAGTGGCCTGCTCCAGGGGGGCTGAAGATGCTCAAGCGAGCCGGGGGTCTGCAGTCGCTCCATCTCCTCGACCAGGTGGGGGGGTGGGGTAATGCGGCCATGATGCAATCGATGGATGGATGGCTGGATGCTCTTGGTGCAGGTGTCAGCTGATAGACACGAGTACACGAGTCTCACCGCAATCGTCCAATCGCTGCTGGGGACGCCTTCTCACAGCACCATCAAATCGCTGACGGGGGCCGTCCACCTCAGTTTTGACAGCAAATCCTCCCCACTTACCGGCCTTGAGTGTTTGGAGGGTGTGAGCTGTACGACGACACTCGACAAAGCCTTCGATGTGGAGGTACACATTCACATGGCAGTGCATTGCAGCACGGGTACCTTGCTGTATGTTTGGATGTGTGTATGTGTGCTTGTAGGATCTGCACAAGTTCCGAAGCACGTGGCTGGCGAAAGGCGCAAAGGAGCTGTACCACGCCGGACAGGTGGACAACGGAGACCTTCGCCTCGTCAGGCGAGCAACGCGCGAATGCCCCGCCCCCCGACATGTCCACCTGCCGCTGATCGGCAAGCCAGAGCAGCTCGCCGGCGCTCGACCGACACTGCAGCTGCTCACGACGAGCGCCACACACGTCACCCTCTCCCCCTACCTCCTCGACGAACATGCAACCGGCGCGAGCGAGCTCTATGGCCTCTCCTTCAAGCAAGCGGCTGACCTCTACGTGAGGAGGGAATGACACATCGTGACGCCCGCCACCCATTGCCGGAGTGGATCACTGAGAGTGCGCCATCGATGTTCGGTGCGGTCAAGACGGTCTACTTGGACCACAGGAATGACCAGATGGGAGTGTCGCTCTATGGGGGAGGGGCAGACAAGGTCATTAGGCAGCTGCCTGCTCTCTCGCGCGTCGTTATCGACACGACTCAGGTCACGTACGCGCCATACGACACGGCCATAGTGCCGCTGCTCATGTCTTGCCTCAAGCACCTTGATGTGGAGGGCGGGGGGCTCGACCTCTTCGTGAATGTGTACCTGAGCGGGAGTCCCACTCACATGCCGCAGGTGTTTTATATACCTGTTTCTCACTGGCAGACGGTGGGAGAGGAGTCAGACGAGCTATTGGCAGTGGTGAGAGGCAGGGTCAGGTCAGTCATAGTGGGAGTGCACGTGCTGCACGACCCACCGAGGTACGAGTACCCCCCTGCCCTGCCATCGCTGTCATCGAGCGCGTCTTCCTTTTCCTCCACTGCATGGGATGTCCTGACGCGCTTTGACACGATTGAGTCGGTGGTGCTGACGATGGCCCGTGGGGTGACGTGTGATCGATACATGCTTTCGGTGTGTGTGCAAGACCTGGTGAGAGTGTTCCCAGGCCGTGTGGGTGTGGAACAGGTGGGTGGGGACCCATCACTTGTCTTCAGAAGACAGGGGCGGTTGACGGTGGGGCGTGCGTGTGAGAGAAGGGCATCCTGCTCGATGCTGGGCAGTGGGGTTGCGGTGCGATGAAATGTGGCGCACCCACATTGCGTAGGGGAGGGCGGGACAGCATTGGGTAGAGAGATTTTTCTGGCATGTTCTTGTGTCCGTGTGGCTGTGCTGCCTGTTGCTGGGAGAGGAGAGGATGAGAAGCAGGCAGTGTGTCATATTGATGATGGATCTGCTGCGAGCGGAGATACATGCGTGACGTGCATGGTGTCGTGTGTGGGCTTTTCTTGACGACGTGGCCGTGGTGCGTTTATCTGTGGGGCGACGGAAGCAGACATACACGCCGACAGCCATACAAATCATGACAATCCTTTCCCTTGCCCCGTTCTCTCCCTCCCTCCCTCCCTCCCTCTCTCTCTCTGAGTGTCTGTGTGTGGGTCTCTGTGGTTCTGCTTGGTTTTATTTAGTTCTCCTGGCTCTCTGTCAGTCAGTGCATCCGGAAACTCCGCCCTTGCCGTAAGCTCTGCTGCTAATTCATTCATGTGTCTTGTACTGGCTGCTCATTCAGACAGAAAGACGATTGTCATGTCACCGGGTTGCGTGTTTTTTCGATCCCCCTGCTGACATACATGGGCATGCCAAGGATGTTCAACGGAATGTCCGTCGAACATGGGAATGTGTGTGTCTTCTGGACTGTACTACACTGCCATGCCATTGGCTGCCGACTGACTGCATTGCAATTGCTGCATCGATGGATCATGTGAACGAAGGGAGGGAAGGAAATGACTAATCGTAGGAAGGCCGCCCCGAGTTCGGGCGATTACTGTAGTTTTTTTACGTTCCGCGCGTTGACCAAGTGAGTGTATGTTTATGCACGCCCTATAGACAGAGACGCGTCTTTGGTGACGCGCTGATCGATGCCAGTCAAGGAAGCGTCCAGCCATGCTTTTACCCTCAAACAACATGTGGGCAAGACCACAACTATGGCTTACACAGGCTTACAGGCGATACCCCATCCAACTTGCTGGCACGACAGCCCCTTTTTGCAAGGCCTGTCGCTGCTTTTCTTAGTGCTGCAGACAGACAGACAGACAGACAGACCACTCAGAGAGCGAGATCAATTCGCTGAGCGCCTGTCTGTCTGAGTGGTCTGTCTGTCTGTCTGTCTGCCTTTGTGTCTGTCTGCCTTTGTAACATAATGTGCCGAACATACCAGTGGTCCTGAGAGTCGCCCTCTTTCTTGCATTTGCCCTGCGCTTCGGTGCGCCCCGTGTGGGTCATCTTCTTGAAGCAGAGGTCGGGCTTCGTGCAGTCGGCGTCTCCCCTGCACTCACCGGGCGGCAGTGGCGGGGGCGGCTTCGTCTTTTTCAGCTCTGCAAGCATGCGAGCGCACATGGACACGAGCACTTGAGACGAGACGGTGGATGCGCGGATTGCCAGTACAGTACAGTACAGTACAGTACGTTCGTCGTGCAGCTGCACAAATCGTGACGAGACACGGGATCCCACCCGGGTGCCTGTACGCAACGCACAACAAGACAGTCACTGTCAAGCCTTCCACACCCCTGGGCCAGCACTCTGTTGCCATCCATCGACCGTGCGAGTCGGAAGTTTCCAGGGGCAGCGGAGCAGCAAGAGGCATGGGACGGTCTGCGGCGCCGTCCTGGGACGTCAGGCGACGGCTGCTGGCGCTGCTGTGTGAGCCGGCCATTGCAACACTCAAGACAGAGAGTGAGACGGCGATCAAATAGAATGCAGCCATGGCGACGACAGACAGGCGGGTTTGATTGGTCACTGTGCTGAGGATGGGAAAAAGACTGGGGGTCGACGCGTTCCAGCTCGCACTCAGTCTAAGCTCGCACTCAGTTTGCTGCGTCCAATGTTCAATGCCAAGGCAGTTATGTGGGTTGCTCTATACAGAAGGGTGCAATCGGCGCGAGAGATCTGTGTACGTAGGTTGATGTTTGCACATGAAGGATAGGCCACAGCCGGCGTGCGCCCAGGAGCGGCGCACCGACTCGGCTGAGTGCCCCTCGCCGCATACTCACCACTGGGTAAGCGCATCTGCACAGAGCTGCGTCACATTGAATGTGGATCTTTCTCACTCTCTCTGTATGTGTGTGATACAGAGGTGCGGCACGCGGCAGAGAAGTGATGACCGCCCACGCCCCAGTCACTGCGCACGTGCACGTCCACGTGCGCGCCCCCTGCCCCTGCTGCTGCTGGCCCTTGTGACGGTCTGCTCGTGGTTCTACCGATCTGGCCGGGCCTTCCGCTTAGCCCACAGCCGGTGTGGCGGTGATCGTGGTGGCGTACAGCGTAGACTAGCATGCAGGGGTGCGCAGAGGGGGTATGTGCATATGAGCGTGGACGAGAGGGCGCTGAGAGGCAACCTGTGGCGGGCGCAGTCGGTGACGCAGGTCTTGAAGGTACGTACATGAGTGAATGGACGTGTGTGTCGGTGGGTGAGTGAGTGTATCTATGTGTGTGTCGATCTGCAGGAGTTGGATGGCGTTGAGTCGTCTTTGAGTCCGCAGATGGCCATCCATGCACTCAGGGCAATCGCAGCAACAGGTCCGCGTGAGTATCTGCTTGCATCTCTGTGTCTGACTGAGCATTCCTTCTGCTTGATGTGTGGGTGCGCTTGTATGTGTCAGGTGGTCGCGTGTTTCGCGGGTCTGGCCGGTACGAGTGGTTCATCGACACGTGGGACACACGGCAAGAGGAGGTCCCTCTCAACCTTGACATCGTCTTCCAGGTACATACATATGCACATAGATGGCATCAACATTCTTCCCATGTTCCCTTTGTGTCCGTGTGTGCGTGCAGCGTGTGTTATCACGGGCGACGGATTGGCTGACTGGTGGTGGGAGCGGCTTCCGCACTGAGCGGGAAATCACACAGGCACTGAGCCACCTGACGTGGGTGCTCACCCGACTGTGCATGGCCGACACACAAGTGTTCAAGTCAGTTCGTTCACACACACACGCACACACACATGTGTACCCATTCAATCACTCATGCCATCGTGTGTGTGTTTGCATGCAGGTCGATATCGGCGCTGTCCTTGCCGCGGCTGGCTGCTTTCTCGTCCCACGACCTGTCCGTGCTCATGTGGGGCTTCGCCAAGATGGGATACGTCCACGGCGAGCTCTACGACCGAGCCAGCGAGGTACCTAGACACTCACATAGACCACAGACGCACACACATACATGGAGACACTCATTGAAGCGTGTGATGTTTCTGCATACACAGGTGGTTTTGTCTCGTTTGCCGCATTCCTTCTCGCCTGCGGACATCGGCCAGCTCACCTACTCTTTCAAACTCGCCGACCAGTACATCAGGTACACACCGACACCGACACACACAGCTTGTGCACACACGCGCGCTAACATGGACTGACTTGCTTATGATGGGCATGCGCAACACACAGGACCAAATGGGATGGGTCGACATCAGACGAGGTGCGCTGCCCGTTGTGGTGGCTTTCTTGCACGAAGACTTCACACACGGATGGATGGCTTGGCTCTGTGTGTGTATGGGTGTGCAGAGGGGTTTTGCCGTGTTTGGCATGAACATGCCCCACATCGTCAGGGGCCTCATGGTCGCCACAGACAGACAGGTATGTGCCCCGACAATGCGCAAGTGGATTCGTCAGGCACCATGTATCCTCCGTGCGTGTCTGCAGCTGCCGTTGTTCCGGCCGAGCGACCTGGGCACTCTGTCTGTCAGCATTTCAGAGGTACGCACGCAGGACACGCGCTTTTCATGACTCAATGTTGGCTAATTTGGTGTGTCAATGATACAGATGAAGCACCATCTGCACAAGGGCGAGGCAGTGGCGTTCGTCGAGGTGCGGCCTGCCGGATAAACAGATTTGCAAGCAATGCACGATACACCCTCGTGTAGGACATGCTTTGTCTCTCTCTCTCTCTCTGTGTGTGTGTGTGTGTGTGCAGTCCCTGGTGTCGTTCGTCATCTCTTCCCACGGGTGGTCGGCACTCGACAACAAAGCCTTCAGCAACGCAGCTTTTGCTATGGTACACCCAGTGATGCGATGCCCCACAACACAGAGAGACAGAGAGAGCGAAAGAGATGCAGATGTGTCGGTTTGCCTACATGTGTGAGCAGGCAACGCACCACGAGCGCCGTGCACCCGTCAATCACACTCTGTGGGAAGGAATCGCCAAGTACGTGTGTGTGTGTGTGGACACAGCCAAGGCCAACACGCATACACACACGTGGCGTTATTGATACAGGGAGTTGGTGGGTCGTGCCGATCGGCTGCCTGCCCGCGACTTGGCCAACGTCTGCTGGAGCCTCGCCAGAGTCAACGTGGGTGCAGGCAGTGATGGACGCAGTGATTTGTCATTGTGAATGAATTGGATGTCTGTCTGTCTGTCTGTCTGTCTGTTACCTAGTGTCTGACGGCTGACATTGTGACGGCCATACAGAATCCGCTCAACAAGGTGACGCACACACACAGACTGTCTGCTGGTATGCATGTGTGTATCTGCTCTGCGTGTTGGTATGCTTCTGCAGGCAGCGGCCAATTCCTATTTCGACACGCCCTCCCTCGCCAATGGTACGGACGTGTGCACGCCTCAACCCTACACACATCTGTGGGATGGGTGTGTCGCTTTCTTCGTCCGCCGCTGTCTCACTCAGTGATTTGGGCGCTCGGCCGGGCCAACTGCACGTCGTCAAAGATACACCAGAGGCTGGAACAGGTGCACACACGGAGAAATGAACAAATGGATGAACATTTCCTTTATGTGTGTGTGTGTGTGTGTTGTCAGCTGGCTGATTCGCACGTCAAGTCTCTGACGCCCGGCCAGCTCTGTGGCGTCGCATGGGGGTTCATGAAAGTAATTCACACACACGCAGACAGCCAAACGAATGAATACACACCTGCATGTCTGTGTGTGATCACATGGTGCAGTCGTCTCACGTGCCGTCGGTGCTCTTCCAGAAGCTGGCCAAGCGCGCGCTCATGATCATGCACGAGTGCAAGGCGCAGCACCTCTGCTGGTATGGATGTCTGCACGCATGGATGAATGTGTGCCTGTATTGGTCGTGTGTGTGTCGTGTGCTCCGTGATTGTGTGTAGTTTGGCACACGTGTGGCGTCAGAGGATGCACTGGGAGAACGCGCCGCTGGTGCATCTGCTGGCCTCGCAAGTCGCCAAACAAACGGTGAGGATTCGCGCACACATCCACACACATCCACACACACATCCACCTGCAATGGATTGATGTGTGCGCAGGTGAGGTGTGACAGGATGGCGCCCAGCGAAGTGGTCCCAATCGCGCACTTTCTCGCAAAGGTAACGACACGACTCCACACCCCAATGCCCCCCTCTCTGCACACCTGTGTGTGTTCAGTACAACATGCTCTTGGACGTCCACCATTCGTCTGAGTCGACAATGGTCCACCACACGTCGGTGGCCACCGACATCATGACCTATACCGGCCGGCGGGCCGACGCCTTTGGGATGCTCTCGCTGGCCGGCATCTGTGAGGTCTTTGTGGGCCACCCACCCACACCGATGCTGCACACCATGTACGCCCTCATCGCCACCAAGGCCGCTCCCCGGATGAGCACGTTTCACACCGACACCCTCATGCGACTGGTGGACCTGCTCACCCTCGCACTCAGCCCACGACCACACAACCCCACCCCTGAGTGAGAGACGATTGAACACATACATAATACGCCCCACGCACACACTCATGCATGTGTTTTGGTGAATGCAGGTATCTGTTTCTGCGTTCGGCGATGGGCGAGCTGGGTTCCCGTGTGTGCGAGCGGATGGCGAGCGAGATGGGTGCTGCCGTCACACCCAACAGTCAGTTTGTGGCCTATCTGGGCACATTCTGCCGGGCGCCCGAGGTGTTTGCCGACAGAGGGCTGTGGTGCGCGGTGTGGGGGGAGCTGGCAGAGCGCTCGCCTTCGTTCGATGCTGATGAAGCCAACAGGTACACCAGTCCGTCTTCGCGCAAACTTGCACGTGTGTGTCTGTGTGTACAGAGCGCTTGAGTGTCTCACATCGCCTTCGCGCACTCTGCGGACCGACATCCCCATGGCGCACACCATCGAGGCCAAACACGTACGCACAGAGAGAATGATCTACCTACTTCGTGCCGACCCCATCCATGGGTTGGCCATGCGAATGTGTGTGAATGGCTGTGTGTGTGCAGGTGGTGCGGGTGTTGGCTGAGAAGGTGATGCAGGACAGCCGTGAGAAGAGGCAAGACTACAAGCAGCGGGGCGGGATAGCCACAGCCATATCGGGGGCGGGGGAGGGCGGCACACCTTCACACTCACACCCGCACCCACACACAGAGAGAGGGGCAGACATCATGAGGGCCGCCGTGGGATAGGACGATGGACGCGCAGGCAGAGAGACAGACACTCACGTAATGCGACGCGATGCGAGTCATGTTTTGATAGCGTGTGGGGCAGTGAGATGGGACACACAAATGGCCTCTTTGGCCATATAATGCAAACCAACCATCTCGATGTGACTTTCACCGTCTCGACGCAATCGAACCCAATCCTTTGTCCTCTCACACACGAAGAAGACGGAAGAATCCCCCTACTGCAGGTACAGAGGCAGCCAACGATGAGCCAACGATGAACATAGATCACTCATTCTTCTCACATAAAAACCCTACACGCGCCAATCCGCCATGACCCGATGACACGCGGCATGGGCCCTTCCCCGTAAGGATAGAAAGCCCCACCCCATCTCGTAAAGCTGCACATGATCCCCTCCCCATCGCTGCTGCTGCTGCTGCTGTCGGCCAACACGCATGTCTGGCCGACCATCACCAGCATCTGCCCATGCGGGGTTGGGGATCCAGGGATAGCCCGAGCAGAACTAACTCTCAGTGGACACCTTGCCTACATGCACACGCAAACACAGACAGTACAAGCAAACTTAAGCAGAGCCTCATCACCTACCGCCTCTCCTTCGCCGTCCCGAGTATGTGCGAGAGACCGACCTGAAGTCTGAAAGAACACGCACATTGACAGCAAACACATGCACCGGCTGTCCGCATCTCAATTCGCATCTCTACATGTGTTTGCACTACTTATGTACCAGGCCCGAAACGCTGCGCAGCTGAAGCCGACAAACTCACACTCTCCAAGCAAAAACACTATGCTTTAAAGCAAGGCGCTTCTTCCACGGCCGCCGAGAGAGCTTATTACGATGCGCAAGTCGCGAGTAGCCAGGCTTCCAACGCAGCCCTCTGAGTCCCCTCATCACAGTACTGCTGGTTGCGCGCAGCGAATATGGCACGTTGGGGAGATGTCAGAAAGTGACTGCTTTGAGCATGTAAGCTCGCATGCTACCGTTACATGGCCGTTTTCTCCTCCCCTCTCCCCCCTCCCCCCTCCCCCCCTCCCCTTTCTCTCCTTGTCTCGGCTTGAGACCAGGT